AGAGGTTTCTATTGTAGGTTAACTATGCAACTGTGTTGACATTATCCACAAGTCCAATACTGGCAATACAAACATATTTTCAAAACACGGTTTTAGTCATTCAAATAGAATTCTAAAATAAAAATTCTTAATAACTGAAATGTGTCAGAGTTTCATATACTGCATTTTATTCTTAATTGTCTAATATCTAAATCTGTCTTAGTATTTCTATGTAAATCTATGACTACTTTTCTCTGAGATTTTCTGATGAGCACTGGTAAACTAATTACTTTCACAATCTTAGATATTTCATAGCTAAAGACACATCTGCATGTTTTCAAGATTACAGGTTATAACTTTAAAATCCTCTCATATTATTTGTAGGCATTCTTTTTGTAATCAATACTGTGAAGGTGAATAACAAATGAGCTTTTACTGTACCATTGTGGAGGTGACTTATTTCAGAATCAATTTTCAGAGGAATTTACATTGTTATCAGTAGGCCTTGACAACATCAACTCATTCCTAGAAGTTCTCTAGAGTAGTCTCATAAGGTGCAATGAAGCACATATCTAACACAAGTGTGAACATCTCCATACTTTCTAGTATCAATTTTCTTCAGTGCAGCAATTTGGGAGAAACTATTAATGAGGTCCATTCATATTATATAATATATTTTTCCTGAAAAGATGTAGAATGCATATGCATCTACTCACTCAAAATGCGATTGAAAACAGTACCAAGAATGGATACCACCAAAGTACATTTTGTTAAATCAATAAGTTCTACTTGGGTTACCTTAAGGAATAAGGAAACAAATTGGTTACAGGAGCAAATCAAGACTTAAAATAAAATTCTAACATTCATGAGAAAGAACTTATAAACCCTACACACGCAGAATGCACTACACACCTAGAGATATATCTATAGGTTGTAGGGCATCCGTTCTTGGAGACTTAGTTCATCACTACCTCCTATAAGTAGCATGGTTGGTCTACATTTCTTCAGGTTTTGAACTTCCTGAAATGAGTTAGGTGATTATTGCCTTATTAGTCACCTTCAATTCAGGATGGAAGGTTTCAGTCTTCAGGGAACTGATCGAACACAGCACAGTGAGGAGGCTTCTTCATTTTTCATTCTTATGCAATTTTTGAAGTTGAGAAAGTAAAGTGTTTGAATGAAAATTGTCATACATTGTCAACATTTTTCAGAATTTTTCCTCAGTATAAACTCTCAATGTTTTATAAGAGTTGTAAATTATTAGAGTCTTTCACAAATACCTCATGATCATAATGTTTATCTTATATGCAAATAGTGGTCTCTAAGAACAGAATATCTGAAAAATTATATGCCACATTATTTACTCTGGAAATTTTTCTCTCCAGTATGAAGTTTTTCAAGTATTCTTAGAAGTAAAGAGTCTAATATGATTTGCCACATTAACTACACTCACTATTTTCTCTCTGGTATGAGTTCTCTAATGTTGTCTAAGACTTGAATCGTGTGTAAAGGATTTCTTGTGTGTAAAGGATTTCTCGTATTTACTACATTTCTAAGGTTTCTGTCTTATGAGTGAACTGATGTTTTTTAAGATTATGTCTCCTTTTAAAGGCTTTCTCACAACTACTGCACTTGAAAGGTCGTTGTTGTGTATGAACTATCTGATGCTTTTTAAGAACTGAGAAATATGGAAAAGATTCCTCACATTCACTACATTTGTAAGGCTTTTCCCCTCTATGAATTTTTTCATGAATTCCAAGAGTTTGTACATGCGCAAAACACTTCTCACATTCACAGCATTTGTAACGTTTCTCTCCTGTATGCTTGGGTTGATGCTGTACAAGACTAGAATACTGTGCAAAAGTTTTCTCGCATTTATTACATTTGTAAGGTTTCTCACCTGTATGAGTTCTCTGATGTATTTTAAGACAATTGGCATGTCTGAAGCAATCTTCACATTCATTACATTTGAATGGTTTCTCTCCTTTATGAATTCTCTCATGTAGTCTCAGACCTGAGACATATGTAAAGCATTTCTCACAATCAGTACATTTGAAAGGTTTCTCTCCTGTATGAACTCTCTGATGCACTATAAGTCGATCAGCACGCGTAAAGCATTTCTCACAATAATTACATTTGAAAGATTTGTTACTTATATGAATTTTCTTATGTGTCACAAGTTGATCATTATCAATAAAGCATTTTTCACATTGATTACATTTGTAAGATGCCTCTTTACTATGGGTTTTATTACGGGTTTTAGCCTGATATATCAGATAAAAGCACTTTCCATTGGCCATTTTGCCAATCTCATTAAATTTGTCAGACTTCTCTTGGTTATACACAGGTCGTAGATGCTATGCTTTGATCCTCAATTCAAGATGTTCATATTTCCCCAATATATGATATTTCCCTGGGGCATATTCACTGAAGATACAGCCATTCTCTCTGATAACTATTCTCAAGTTTCTGTTGCAAGAACAAAGATCAGAATTCTTGTTATTTCACATCAAGGTATCAAAACAAACCCAATATTTAGGAGTTGGAATGTGGCTCAGTTGTTAATATGCTTGTCTGGCATAGTTCATGAAACCCCGAGTTTGATCCTGGGCAATGAATAAGTCAAGTATGGTAGTGCACAGATATAATCCCAGCACCTTAGCACCAGGTCATCTTGCGACACTGCTGGAAGAAATAGCAGTAGTCCCGTATGGCTCCTTCCTCCTCTGGCAACCACAGAAAAGCTTCCAGCTCACACACAGAATCCCGGCACTTGCTGGAGGTCAAGGGTGCTGGTAGCTCCCGTAAAACATATCTTTAACCTGTGAAATAATTGACTTGAAAGTATTTTGTTAACTTAGATATAAAAAAAGCTTCACAGATAAATGCCAACCAACATGCCATATATATTGCGAAAGCTCTGCCGATTTTATAGAGCCACTATAGCACCCAAGATGTGAGACATTTGCTTATTTTCATGCACCCCCATAAAGGCTCTAAAATAAAAAAGTTTTCATAAAAGGAAAAAAATATTTTTTCTAAATTTATCAATCAAATAAAGAGAAAAGAATGTAATTTTTCATATTTCCCTGTTTCTGAGACCCGCCTGCTTTTGGGGTGGTGGTGCTACCGCCTACACCCTAGCTCCTCCTCCTGCCCCACCTCTCATACGTGCCATTCATAAAATATAGTTGAAATCTACATTTAAGCTTTATGTAGGAAAAAGAGATATTAGTTGGGATATTAATAATGGTGAGAAATGAAGGTGTGAATTACACTGTACTTAGAATTTTGCTGTTGGATCGCTACATCTCCCCCCTCCTCCAACATAAACCTTCACAAGAGCAGGTCTCTGATGTGTTCTTGGGTGTCTGTAGCTCTCTTTGGTAGTGCAGTATTGATTACATCTGGTGAATGTCTAGCCTTTCTGTTGTATGGAACTCGAGAAGAGCAGCGATTGTGTTTGCTCTGCTCACCACACCATCTAGCACCCAGTAGGTGCACAAATATATTACCTGTCATGATGTGCACAAACTCTTGGAGCACTGTTAGAAATCTGGGTGGTTGGGCTAGCAAGATGGCTCAGTGGTTAAAGGAGCTTGCTGCCAAGCCTGATAACCTTGAGTTCAATCCCTGGACCCACACTGTATAAGGAGAGAACTAACTCTTGCAGGTTGTTCTCTGACCTCCACACCTGCTCTGTGATACTCGTGTCCTTCCTCTCCAACAAATAATAAATGGATGCTTAAGAAATGTGGGCAGTTAACCATAGGTCACATATATGGGCAAATAATTATACTATTTATGAAGAGAAGTTGTATGTATATGGAGAAAGGAAGCTGATAGGATATAGAAAGCTGGGAGATCCCCAAAGCGCCTCCCTGAAATTGTATAAGCAGGGAACAATTGCTGGAGTAAGAGGAGATAAGCTTCGGAGAGGTGCCTACAGGTTCGTCTAGAAGTGTGGTGAGTTTTCACTTGCACTGGGTTCACTGGTGCTGTTAGGGATGACTGCCTTGGAGTCTTCTGCTAGTCATTCCAGTGAACTCAAGTTCACCAAGCAAGACTCTGGGAACGATTTCTTTGTCCTGTCCTTTTAGTTTGGATGAAGAGACACTTGTGCACTTTTCCCAGGAAAATTCATGCAATAATACATAGCTCAGGAAGCAAAATTATTAAAGAAAAAATACATAATTGTTAAGTCCCATACATTTGACATAAGAAGGAGAAAAATATTCTAAGTAAATTGTTACAAAACATTGGCAGCGATTATTTCTGGGTCATGGGATTGTGTCTGGTTTTAAATTTCTTCATTTCCTAATTATTGTAATCTGTAGATTATAATATTTTACTTGTTAGCAACTCCTCTCGCTCCAGTGGCAGTGTCTTATATAGCCACCTCAACAACCAAAACACAAAAATAAAACTACAACCAAAAAAAAAAAAAAAATACAACTCCAAACCTGAACCTACTTGAAATACTATTTACTAAATGTTAATTTGAGACTGGCTTTTCCAGCAACCTTGATGTGATTGTCATGTGACATGGATTTGTTGCTGAAATAACCTGCCAGACTGAAAACTCTAGAGAAACTGATTTTCCCTTCTTCACTGTTCTTAAAAGTATGTTTTAAGAAAGTCCATGGGATAGAAAATGTAAGTAACATCCAGGAATAACAGCCTGTCCTTACACTTTCTTAAAAGAAGAAAGTAATTCATGCTATCCCTTGATAGAGAAATGCCTAGGTTAGGTGCAAAATCATTGAAAGGTTCTGTGGTTCGTATAACCGGTCCATCTGTACTTGTCTTGCCTGCTTCTCTAGGATAATTAAACAGTGATGGATTAGGACTAGGCTGCGGCAGAGATTGGGGGAAAAAAATCTCCCAGCATCCCTTCCTGCGGAAGCAGCCGCCAGAGCAGTGAGTGTAGCTGCCACTGTAGCTGACAGGTCTTAAATTCACCCTGCAGTGCTCTGGGGGCTGTCAGATGCCTTGGTCACTTCTTTGCCAGGGTCTGGTAACTGAGAGTCTCTTTGCAGATCAGGGAATGAAGCAGAAGTTGCAGATTTCTGTTGCGTTTTATATTGAGGAATGGCTCTTCTTTTAGTTGGCTGTTAAAAAAGGTCTGACAGAAGAGAGGGAAAGACAGCTTCATAGTGGGACCGTGTTCTTTCCTTGGAAGTTACAGCTGCCGTGAGCCCGTGAGTATGTTGTGTTCATTTAGTGGTTCCAGGGGACATGATTGCAAGGTTCTCTTTAAGTCTGGGAGGATTTATTTAAGGAAAGCTTTGGGGAAAAATGAAAGAGTTCAGTTTCACTAGAGACCTGCAGGTTTTGTCAGATGACATTGTCCTCTTAGTAGCTTCCTGTCTAGCTTGCCAGGGCTTCCCACACCCCCTCCCTTTTTTAAATCTTCCTGAGGGTGAGTGCAGTAATTGTGGAAAGCAGCATGTCTGTCCATGCTGCCTGCCTGCGCTGCAGAGGTTGTGGTCTTTCTCCGTGCCATGGCTGGCTGACTGATGCTGCAAGGTGTGCCCCAGAGCTCCCCAAGACTCCCACAGCAGAACAATGGCAGCAGGAGGAGGCTCATTTGTGTTTTCTGCATTTGTTTTAGGCCCTCTGCTGCCTTCTTCCCAGCATTTTGTTTTGTCTTCTTATGGTAATTAAGACCTTAAAGATGAGTAAAGTGATGTTCATTCAGAAGTAGTCTGGGTCAGGTACCCTGGAAATTCACCTTCTACTGGGTGGTGTTGGCTTAAGCCAGTCTCTGTAGCAGATCATAGTGAATGTGAACCACCAGAAAGTGAGCTCTGCTTCCTGACCTTTTTAAGTTGTGCATTGGAATCACTGCTGATTTGTGGTGTGTGTGTGTGTGTGTGTGTGTGTGTGTGTGTGTGTGTGTGTGTGTGTGAGAGAGAGAGAGAGAGAGAGAGAGAGAGAGAGAGATGCAGATTCTGAACTCAGAACATCTGTCCATCTGTCCTGAGTCATTGTGTCCCACTTTTCCCCTCTGGAATTTACCAGAGGCTACAACTTTTTTTTTTTTTTTTAATTTTTATTTATTTATTTATTTTTCTGTATTGGCGAATGCATCTGGAGCATTTTTGGTTGGTTTCAGATTCCTCCTGTGACCCTCCCTCCCTGTTCTAGTTGGTTTTTGTGAACTGATTCTATGAGGTGGCTATGATCTTCCTATCTCTTACAACCACATTAAAGTGACTTTTAGAAGTGGCTGGTAGTCATAATAGTTTAAAACACTGGTCCCGGTTGTCTTTGTACGCATATTATGCTTGACTTAGGCTGAAATAATAGGAGTTTTTTTTTTTTTTTTTTTTTTTTTTTTGTGCCATTATTTGGTTGGTTTCCTGCAGAGTAAAAATAAATGGTTTTTTAAAAAAGAAAAAAATCCCTGCCACCCAGAGATCAAACATGTGCTGTTTTTATTTTTAAACATTTTGTCATACGTAAGTGTAGCAACTTGAATTTAATTGGGAAGGGTTGCTAAATTTAGGACACTCTGCCTTTAAGCTTGCAAAGAATATTTAATCATTCATTCATTCATTCATTCATTCATTCATTCATTCACAAATGTTCACATTTGTTGCAAAGCTTTTTCCAAGCTCTGCGGATATGATGCTGAAGAAAATATTGTATGTAGACTTCTGGAGCAGATATTTTTAGTAGGTAAAGGAGGCTGTTAAAACCTAATTAGCAAGTTATTGTATTAGAGCTGTGGTGAGCTTTTCAGCTGTACAGCTACAGACTACTTTGTGAGCAGCCCTATATGGGACACATCAATGCTTGTAACTAGTGCTGCCCCAGATCTTCAGGCACGGAGCCTTTGAGTCCTTAGCTGGAGAGAGATGTTAGAAATATGCTCATTAGTTCAGCAAGCATGCAATAAACCCTGTGCGTATAGGGCTTAGATTAGAAGAACTGGTTTCTGTTTGGTTGGCCCCACTGGGGAAGGGAGGGAAATTGGTTATTATGTCACTCTGTGCCATCATTTTCCTATCTTAGGGGAGGAGACAGAACTGGACTCTTTCTCAAAGGTTTTCTGGGCCAGGCCCAATGCTTTTGTTCAGTCTCCGTCCCCTTCTCCTCTTCCTCCTCCTCTTCCTCCTTCCTCCCCTCCTCCACTTTCTCCTCCTTCTCACATCTTCCTCCTCTTTTCTCTTTAAATTTATAGCAACTGTCCTGTCAGTGGTTTCCCAGATGAGGAAAATGCCTGGGGTCGCTCAGAGTGCTGGCGGTCATGGCACCACTAATAAGCTGGCAGACCTGTGCTCCTCCGGGTGACTGCATTGTGTATCCCAGTTGGAGGTTAATTGCGGGGAGCTTCCCCCGATTTCTTCTAGCGTACTTGTGGATATAATACATCATGAAAAATAAGAAGTAGTCATTTCTGTTGGCCCCGAGCCCAGATCTCCCTATCATTTGCAGTTGCTTCCCTCCTGCTGACATATGCTTGCGTCCTCTGTTCCTTTTAGAAAGGAGATGACTGTGCATGGACAGACTGAACTCAGTGGTGGGCCAGTGAAAGACATGGGCAAGGTTCATCCGAGAACCATGGGCAAGGTTCATCCGAGAAGAGGAATGCTAGTGGGAAGGAAGCAGCAACTTTTCTTGCACTTTATGTTCAGATTGCTGTCCATCAAGTCCAGATAGCAGACTTTTCAACAGAGACATTCAGCGCATTTCCCTTGACCTGCCGCAGTTTCTAGATGGCCACGCTGCTTCTTGGTGGGAACTGTGACAAAGAACTTGTGAGCCCATGGGATCTGTTAACACCATGTTCCCCACACCAGACCTGTTTGTGTTCCAGCTTCATCTCATACCTTAAAGCCTTCAGCTTGGGCTGAGCCCGGGCGGTTCCCTTGCAGGTGGACAGTTCTTATGTTACATGTAACCGGTTGTGCTTTCAGAGTTCCATCTAGCCTGGCTCTTCTAAAGCTTGTTTGAGTCTTGACGGCTGTGTCCATTTGGAATTGCCTATCCTGTGACTGTCCCTACACATGTGTGCCACACATGTAGCCCACACATGTGACTGTACTCTGCACTGAAGATGTCAACACGCCGGGCAGGACAGGCCTGTGGGTGATGGAGACCTTTCCCCAGATTAACCTGCGCATTAACCAAAATGCCCCGTGGCCTTGGTGAGAGTGAGGAGAGGCAGCGCTGTTTGTTGTAATGGAGTCTTAGTGCTTAGCATGTGGATTTGATGTGAATTTCATGCATGGTTTCCTCTTCTTTTGCTGGTTCACTAGTCCACAGGTGTGGGCAGTCCTTAGTGACCGTTCAGCTGGGATGAACGGATTTCTTTGGTGATTATTTTAGATTAGTGGGTTATAGAATGCTTTATTTGAAAGCAGTACAGGTCACTGTAGTTTAGAAAGAGAAGAGCATGGGACTAAGACTTGAATTTCATTTGTGGTTGGGGCTGTGGGCATTATCTTCTTAGAGAGAAGGCAGAATTTGAGCCTTTCAGTTTTTCACAAACTAGGACGTAACATAAAACATTTACCTGCTATTCACCTCCTTAAGAGCTTGGTTCTCCTTCCTTCCTCCCCTCTCTCTTCCCTCCCTCCCTTCCTCCCCTCTCTCCCTCCCTTCCCTCCCTTCCTTTCTTCCACCTTTCCTTCTTCCCTTCCCTCCTTCCCTTCCTCCTTCCTTCCCTACCCTCTCTCCCTCTCTTCCCTCCCTCCCTCCCTCCCTCCCTCCCTCCCTCCCTCCCTCCCTCTCTCTGCAATAGAATCCCATATGGCAGCCATTCCATAGTCTGGATAATATAGCAGTCAGCTAGGAGAAGTTGGAAGTGTGGGAGAAGAGTCAATCCTGGTGCTTAATTTCTTGAGAATGTATAGGCCTCTCCTTCCATGTAATCCGCCCACCAGCGTCTACGCACTGGTACAGTCCCATGTATTCATACCTCACCCACTGCTCACCACAGCTGAAACAGCAGGCTGACGCTCGGTCAGTGAGCACAGACACAAGCTAGTCTGAGGAAATGGCTTTTGGGTGGCAGTTACTTCCTTCTTCCCTCCTGGATTATGAGGTGAAGGAAAGGAAAACTTGTTTTTGCAACGATTGTTTAAAGACATCTTGCTATTCTTTATTTCGACTTTGATTTTTTTTTTTAAGTGAACAGCTACTTCCCAGTCATTGTCACTCTGAAAACCTGTATTTGCTGTGCACCCTGCAAGTCATCTGCTTCCCTGCTGGGAGGGGCATGATAACTGGCCAAACACTGCTTTTAGCCGCCTCTGCCCCAGGATTGCTGGAAACATTAGGTGTAACTGCTGAGTGGCAGGAATCCTTCCCTGGTCTGTGTACTGGGAAGCTCTGGTCTGGCTCTCCTTGCCTTAAGTGGCATAATAACATCACCACTGCTTACAACGCCTTACAGTTATTTATGTGCCATCTCAGTTCAAAGGTGATTTTACAAATGGAGTGCATCTCATTGTGGGAGTGTCCTGGTGAGGGGACTGAGCCCGGAATTGTTCTTTCCTGCCTCCAAAACTGCTGACACACTTGGGGTAGCACTCCAGCTCTGCCTTGTGCCCCAGCACACTGCCTCCTCTGTCACTGTAGTTAGTATTCGGGTGAGAAAGGACGAGGCAGAGGCGAAGTCACTGCAGGGAGTGAGTCCTCCAGTAGAGACAGGGACCCTCCCCCCCCCCCCCCGCCTGGCTCCAGTTTACCTTTCAGCTTTCAGTTAAAAGAGACGAGCAGTTGGACCCAGGAAGATCAACCAGCAGCTGCACACATTTTCTGCCAGTCTGCCAGTCTGTTGTCATTGGTTTCAAAGAACACAGGAAATTTGATTTGCTCTGCCCGAGGAAAGACAGTGGAAAGATCTAGGTGCCTGTTCTTGGGAGTTTTCTGTGTCTTTGGGCAAGGAAAACAGCACTCCTTGGGGACAGATTCGACAGATAACAGTCACCCTTCTGTCCCCTTAGTCAGGCTTGAAGCACTTTATACTTTAAATGGACATGACCTTTTATCCTTTCCAAAGGTCTCCTTGGCAGTAAAGCCCCCATTGCCACCAGGGACAGAAAACAAACCAACACGAGCCTGTCAGCCAGCGGAGCTGACCTGCAGGTTTCCAGTGCCCTCTCTTGGACGATTGTGGAGTGGGTGATGGCGGTGAGGGAGGGTCATGACCAACCATGTCAAGTGCAGACTGAAGCTCTGCAGCTGT